GAGAAGAGAAAAACCTTGGCTTTGACGGAGAGTGATCCTATTTCTAGCTGTGGTGCTGACTTTGGGCTGGGTGCCCTGGTCCCAGGCGGCACCAGGAGAAACTGCTCTGTTGCTCTCCAGCCTCAATCACCGGCTGGGAAGCAGCCCCATTTGAAACTTCTCTGCTGCCCTCCAGGTTCGATCTCTGACTGGGAAGCAGCCCAACCTGTGGGATTATATTTTGGGCGGTATCAATAAAGTGCACAGACTAAGACCTGGAAACAAGGCAGAGCTTGAGGCATAGAACATGGCTCGCCTTGGCTACACCCACGACACAGGGAGATTGGACCCAAAAGAGTGATTTGCAATGTTTGGTTTGAGAAGGGACTGGGGTGCAACCATTTTTCTCCCCACAATCACCAGGATGGGACCTCAGGGAGCGGCCTGGCAAGACCACAGTGAAGGCTAAACTTGCCTACACCAAACCATGCCCATCTCCACTAGAGAGCTGTTTTTGTTTTGTTTTGTTTTGTTTTGTTTTGTTTTGTTTTACCGGAGTCCAGGATAAGACCAACATGGATGCACTACTGTGATAAATTCTAGATCAATTCTTTCGATTCAGATATATTTTCCCTTGTCTCATTCATATCCCTCCCCTCTGATGGACTGGGCACTCTGGTCATTGGTTTGCTTAAACAGTCACATTTAATCCATTCAATCGATGTATATTCTATACCTCCACCACTACCTTTCTACCTCTCTCTCTGGAGTAATCAGACTATATAGTTTCTCTGAGTAACATTATCTTCATTTCTTTTTCCTCATCTCCTACCATATTCTCTTCTTTCTCTCTCTGAATTAAGCCTCTTAGTCTCTCTGCCTGGACATTGTCCAATTTCCCTTTCTTTCCACCCTGTCATTTCTCTCTTTGTATATGCTCTTCCATCAGCACTGCATACACCCTGCTTTTTATTTGTAGCTGGGAATTCTGGTTTTATGCTTTTAGACTGTCCTTTGTCTTTTGAATTTTTTTCTTTTTTCTTTTCCTTTGTTTCTTTTTCTTTTTCTCTTTTGGTTTGCTTGTTTGTTGGATTTGTCTCTGCAGTTGTGTGCCTTTGTTCCTTGTGTGTTTGTCTGTCTGTTTTCCTTTCCAGGGCTACCTCAAGAAACAAGCCAAAGTACACATGGTGGAGAGTCCCAAATATCAATACAAATAGCGAAATATAATAACCAAAGTCTCAACAAGGGAGACCAAGAGACACCATTCAAAGAACAGATAGGCCCTCAACAGTCAATGAGCCTTCTTTAATATAACAGTACTTGCAGGTGCAGAGTGCATAACAAGATTTTAAAATTAACAATAGACAGGGGCGCCTGGGTGGCTTAGTCGGTTGGGCGTCCAACTTTCGCTTGGGTCATGGTCTCGCGGTTCGTGGGTTCAGGCCCCGCATCGGGCTCTGTGCTGACTGCTGGCTCAAGCCTGGAGCCTGTTTCAGTCTGTGACTCCCTCTCTCTCTGACCCTCCCCTGCTCACGCTGTCTCTCCCTCTCTCCTAGAAATAAATAAAACATTTAAAAATGTTAAAAAAAATTAACAATAGACAGAAAGCTAGCCAAAATGATGAAATGAAAGAACTCTCTTCCAAAGAAATTCCAGGAAGAAATGACAGCTAAAGAACTGCTAAAACAGATGTAAAAAACCTAACTGAACAAAAATTTAGAACAATCGTCATAAAATTAATTGCTGGGCTTGAAAAAAGCATGGAAGACATCAGAGAAACTATTGCTACAAAGACTATGGAGCTTAAAAATAGTTGTGATCAATTTAAAAATGCTATATAGGAGTTGCATAATAAAATGGAGGCGTCCAATGCACAGATTGAAGAGGCAGAGAGGAGAATAGGTGAATTAGAAGACACAATTATAGAAAAAGAGGAAGCCGAGAAAAAGAGTGATAAACTGATCAAGGAGCATGAAAAGAGAGTTCCAGAGCTAAGTGATACAATCAAATAGAACAATATCATAAGAATTCCAGAATAGGAAGAGTTCAGATGGACTGAAGGAGTCCTTGAACAAATTATAGAAGAGAACTTCCCTAATCTGGGGAAGGAAACAGACATTGAAATCCAAGAGGCACAGAGAACTCCCCTCAGATGTAACTTGAATCGATCTTTGGCATGTCATATTATAATGAAACTGGCAAAATATAAAGACAAAGAGAGAATTCTGAAAGCAGCTAGGGATAAAAGGGCCTGAACATACAAAGGGAGACCTATCAGAGTGGTTACAGATCTATCTACTGAAACTTGGCAGGCCAGAATGGAGTGGCAGGAAATCTTTAATATGATGAAGAGAAAAAATATGCAGCCAAGAATCCTCTATCCAGCAAGCCTGTCATTCAAAATAGAAGGAGAGATAAAAGTATTCCCAAATAAACAAAAGTTAAAAGAATTCATCACCACTAAACGAGTCCTACAAGAAATCCTAAGGGGGAACTCTATGAGAGAAATGTTGCAAGCAATACAAGGTACCAGAGATACCACTACAAGCATGAATCCTACAAAGAACACAATGACTCTAAACCCATATTTTTCAATAATAACACTGAATGTAATGGGCTGAATGCTCCAATGAAAAGGCATAGGGTAGCAGAATGGATAAAAAAACAAAATCCATCTATTTGGTGTCTACAAGAGAAGGGTACCAAATACACAAACTTCAACTAAATGGTCAACAAATCTTTGACAAAGCAAGAAAGAATATTCAATGGAAAAAAGATAGTCTCTTCAACAAATGGTGTTGGGAAAACTGGACAGCATCATTTAGAAGAAACTGGAACACTTTCTTACACCATTCCAAAAAATAAATTCAAAATGGAAGAAATATCTAAATATGACACCAGAAACCATGAAAATCCTAGAGAAGAACAGAGGCAACAACCTCTTTAAACTCTGCCATTGCAACTTCTTATAAAACACGCCCCTGAAGGCAAGGGTTGCAAGAGCAAACATGAACTGTTGGGACTTCGTTGAGATAAAAAGCTTCTGCACAATGAAGGAAAGAATCAACAGAACTAAAAGCCAGCCTACAGAATAAGAGAAGATATTTGCAAATAACATATTGGGTAGAGGGTTAGTATACAAAGTCTATAAAGAAGTTATCGGGGCGCCTGGGTGGCTTAGTCGGTTAAGCGTCTGACTTTCGCTTAGGTCATGATCTCGCGGTTCGTGGGTTCGAGCCCCGCGTCGGGCTCTGTGCTGACTGCCAGCTCAGAGCATGGAGCCTGTTTCAGTCTGTGACTCCCTCTCTCTCTGACCCTCCCCTGCTCACGCTGTCTCTCTCTCTCTCCTAGAAATAAATAAAAAAAAAAAAAAAGAAGTTATCAAACACAACACTCAAAACACAAACAACCCAGTGAAGAAATCAGCAAAAGACATGAATAGAATTTTTTCTAAAGAAGACATCCAGATGGCTAACAGACACATGAAAAAAATGCTCAACATCAATCATCATCAGGGAAATAAAAAAAAATCAAAACCACAATGAGATACCACCTTACACCTGTCAGAATTGCTAAAATTAAGAACACAAGAAAAAACAGATGTTGGCGAGGATGTGGAGAAAGGGAAACTCTCTTGCAGTGCTGGTGGGAATGCAAACTGCTACGGCCACTCTGAAAAAGAGTATGGAGATGTCTCAAAAAACTAAAAATAAAACTACCCTATGATTCAGCAATTGTACCATTAGGTATTTACCCAAAGGATACAAATGTCCAGATTTGAAGGGGTACATGCACCCCAAAGTTTATAGCAACATTATCAACAACAGCCAAATGATGGAGAGAGCCAAAATATCCTTTGAATGATGAATGGATAAAGAAGACGTATATATATATAAGTGGAATATTACTCAATCATCAACAAGAATGAAACCTTGCCACTTGCAACAAAGTGAATGGAGCTACAATGTATTACGCTAAGTGAAATCAATCAATCAGAGAAAGACAAATACCATATGATTTCACACATGTGTGGTTTTAAATAAACAAAACAGATGGGGTGAGTGGCTAGTTCAATTGTTTAAGCACCTGACTCTTCATTTTGGCTCAAGTCATGATCTCACAGTTGTGAGATGGAACTCTGCATCTGGATCTGTGCTGAGTGTGCAGCCTGCTTGGAATTCTCTCTCTCCCTCTATCTCTGCCTCTCCCATGCTCATGCTCTCTGTCTCTCTGAAAATAAATAAGTAAACTTTAAAAAATGAAACAAAAATTATGAACATATATAGAAGTGAGATGAGGGGTGGAGAGGAGAGAGAAACAAATCAGAAGAGAGTCTTAAGAATTGAGAATAAAATGAAGATTGATGGAGGGAGGTGAGTGGGATGTGAGCTAGTTGGATACTGGGTATTAAGAAGGGAACTTGTTGTCATGAATACTGGATGATGAATCACTGAATTCTACCCTGAAATCAATTTTGCACTGTATGTTAACTAATTTTTAAATAAAAAATAAAAACATAAGAAGATGTGAGATATTCTTTTTAATAAAAGTATGTATATATAATGATATATATATATATATACACACACAATGGAATACTACTCCACCATAAAGCAGACTAAAATATTGCCATTTGCAATAAAATAAATGAAGCTAGAGTTATGTTAAGTGAACAAAGCCAGTCAGAGAAAGACAAATACCACATGATTTCACTCATCTGTGGAAATTAAGGAACAAAGCAAGCAAAGGGAAAAAGAGAGAGAGGCAAACCAAGAAACAGACACTTAACTACAGAACAAACTGATGGTTACCTGAAGTGAGGTGGTTGGGGGAATGGGTGAAATATGTGATGGGTGTTAAGGTGGGCACTTGTGATGACTACAGGTGTTGTATGGAAGTGTTGAATCACTACATTGTACACCTGAAACTAATATTACACTGTACATTCACTAACTAGAATTTAAATAAAATATTTAACAAAAGGACTTTATGTACAATAACAGAACGTCAGGAACACCAAATATGTATCATGTATTCATTTATTTAAAAACTCATTTTTCAGGACCTACTATGTGTATAGTCATTTATTACTAGTATTTCAGTCTTAAGACCATGGCTGTGTATAAAGTAACCATCACACAAAGAGTTATGCCCTCCGATAAAGCAGAAAATTCCAGATTATTGTTCTTCATTTTCCTAAGAAGGATCATATGAAAGAAGGATTCTAGAACTGATGGCTCAAACTGTCAAATAAAACTCACTAAGTCAGTGGTTGGTTGAAGTCAATTATGGAAATGTCTGTAATATTCCCTGAGGGCAGCGGGTCAAGATGGCTTCAAGGAAGCCCAAGTCATCTTTCCAGGCACCAGTACCAAAACAACATCAATAATAATTCCAGAGCTGACTAGGTCTTTCCCATTTTTATGTCTATCATGCTAAAGAAGGTAAGCTTACCCAGAGCCCACAGAGTGCTTAAAAATCTCTTCTTTTCTAAGAAGACGTTTTGCATCACTCACCACAGTGTCAAGGAAATAATTTTGCAAATAGTAAACCTTCCTAAAGTAAACACCAGAGGCAATGAGTCCTCCACTAATACCACAGAATGTTTCCAAATATCTCAAGAGTTTATCCCCTAAAGACTCTTCATTCTTCTCAATTGAAAGCAAATTGGGAGACATAAGGTTTTCCTTGAGTTTCTCCACTGACACATTCAAGTCCTTGGCCATGATTTTCAGGGATGCATCATCCAGCCCAAAGTAAAACCTATAGAGAGTTAAATTCTCCTTTAAAGTCTCCACGTCATTATCACTGATTATCCCCATGAGAGGGATGTTGGCAGATGCTCCAGCCTTCAGGGCCTCCATCCAGACCTTCTGTTTCAGAGAATCCCTCTTCCGGTCAATGGCGGCCTCAGTAATATTCGGCAGATATTGCATGAAGATGTGGCGCTTGTGGGCTGGGAGCTCTCTCAGAAGGGTGGTCTCTAGGTTTTGGAAATCATAGCCAGACAGCTCAAGGCTGGAGACTAAGAAGATCTGAGGGTCACTCACATTGGCTTTCTGCAGGTGTTTCACACAGTCATCGCGGATCCTTTGCAGAATTTCATCCTTATTGAATGTGGTGGGTTTACTCCTTTCTAGATTGTGTAAATCACTGTCCACTTTAGTTCGGACAAAGTAGAAATTCTTCTTCATTTTTCCAATAGCTGTAGCCAATTGCGCATCATTGATTTTGAAACGTGTAGCAGAGATGATAATAAAGAAGTCATACTCACCAAATTTCATTTCCTCCAGATATTCTTGTGGCTGAAATCTAGTGGTCCCTATGCCAGGCAAGTCCCATAATGTCACATTGGGAAACTCTGGGTGTTTGTATGGGGTTCTCTCCATGGTTGTCTCCACTGGCCCCGTGGGAGCAGCCTCATCTTCCTCATGCCCCACCCCCCGCAGGGCATTGATGAAGGTGGACTTCCCTGTCCCAGATTCTCCTGTCACAGCAATGTTCAGTGGGGCATTGTCAATGTCTCTCAATGCATCACTGATTGCAGAAACTGCACTCTGAAGGTCACCCTTCTCCAGGTGTGATTGAATCTTTGTGATGGTTTCCTGAGAGAGGATTTTGCTTTCCGGCTTCATTTCTTTAAAAAACTTGTTAAAACTGGAGGCCAAATCGCTAGCCTTTTCATGAGAGGGTAGAGAAGAAGAGGAGTGACCCATGGCTAGAGCAGTAGAAGGCACTGGGGAGAGGAGACAGGAGGGAAGGAAAAATAGTTAGTACAACAATGGATGTCTTGGGGTGTGCTATGATGGAGACAGAGAACCTCAGTCCTAGACACAACAGTGTATCCAGGATACCTTTTCTTTCTGTCCAGGCATTGCTCTGGACTTCTCACCTAAATGTAAAGCTTGGTTTGCTCAGTCTCTTCCCTTATCTTGGAAAGTCCTTGTTCTTTAATATGCTCTTCACTCTTTCAGATTAATTTCAAGGCCTGATTCTTTTATCCAAAGATTCATGCCCATATTCTTTATTTATCTTACTTTAGTTTTCTTTATTTTTAATGTTATGAAAGTAATAATTTTTCATGGTGGCAAATCTTAAGACAGCACCAGCATTTACTTCCACACCCTTTCCCACTTGTGGTGTAAGACCCTCCAGAAAAACCACTTTTGATCATCTCTAACATCATCATGTAATAGATCTTGGGTCTCATATGAGAACCAAGCTAAATAAGGATGAGTGGTTCCTTTCCTTCTCAGAAAAGATACTTTATATCTTCATTAAGAGGTAGAAAATTTAATGATTGCAAATGTGTTTTCTTTTGTCTATAAAATGTGCTCGCTCCAGAAACAAGCTGTGAAAGGACTTTTTTCTGTTTCCTGGAGTAGAAACAGCAAGTGGGATGGGTTCCTATGTTATAAAGAAGGAGTTGACATGAGACCTCACCCACCACCAGCATCATGCCTTTGTTCTATGAAAAGGGACAGAAATAGGTGGAGAGATAAGCCACCAGAAGGCCTGACCACTGTATAAAGTGTCATTGATGGAAAAGTTAGTGTGAGCAAAGACTGAAGCTGGAGCTGAATGGGGTACTGTAAGAAGTCAACCATGGTAAGGAGGTCCCTTTATCACCTTTTTTGATATAATTCAAGGTGAGCTGGTTCTGGAGTCCTGGACCTATCTGATCATGGAAGAAATATTATATCCAGAGATGGGGCACCTGAAGAAATCATATACCCAAGACAAAAGGTTACATGAAAGATATGCATACTGTCCCCTACATTTATCATCTGATCCTCTTAACAACATGACACACAGACTTTATAGTTCTATGGAGAAATGTGTTAAAAAGAAAGACACAGGGCCATATGGAGCCACTTAAGTTAATGCTCCAAGTTAGTAAGACAAGACTTACTGCCTAACAGCATTTTCAACCCTCAGAGATGTAATCTATCAAAAGTCAACATGGGAATTTCCTGGTCAGCACTAAAAACTATACTGACAGATGCTTTCTCTCTCCTTAGGAGGGCAACCTTGGCTAAAACAATGGTTTCTTTGCTGATAATTTCCTCTCCACTTTCTTTCTATACTTAAAAACTATTCTTTTTTGGGGCGCCTGGGTGGCTTAGTTGGTTAAGCGTCCGTCTTTCGCTTAGGTCATGATCTCGCGGTTTGTGGGTTCGAGCCCCGCGTCTGGCTCTGTGCTGAGTGCCAGCTCAGAGCCTGGAGCCTGTTTCAGATTCTGTGTCTCCCTCTCTCTCTGACCCTCCCCTGCTCACTCTGTCTCTCTCTCTCTCCTAGAAATAAATTAAAAAAATTAAAAAAAAACTATTCTTTTTCTTCAGCTTGATAGAGTTCTTTTTATTTGCTAGGTTGAATGCTGCCTGTTTCATAAATCATTTAATAAAGCCAGTTAGGCATTCAGAATTTACTTGGTTGAATTTTGTTTTTTAACAGATATGGTGGAGGTGTTGAGATCCTAAGCACATTTCTGACTTTATTTGGGAACAAGAAAAAACAGGTGTGGCATCCCATGAGTAGTTTTGAGTTCACTGTCTCTCAACCTTTCCAAAGGCCATTGGTTCGAGCTCTGCTCTTTTTTACATTACAGCTCCTGATTGAATTTGCTTTCCAGTCCAGGGTTAGCATACCACCTTGTCATTGACAGGTCCTTAGTTCTTGGTTCAATCCACAAGTCCACATTGGAATCCCTTCCCCTCTTACAGTCCACAATCTCTATTTACCACTGTTTGCTGGGTTAGTCTGTTACCCATTTCCTGTCTTCAGTCTCCATTAATGGAATCTGCTGGTTTAGTACATGATGGAAACTGATGGTAAGTTGTAGAGAGCATTCTCGAATAGTCAACAGTAATTTCTAAACCACGCCCTTCGTTATGGACTCAGATTCCAAATTAGGAAATGTTGGTGGCAGCTACAGTTCTCCATGTATGTGTTATCAATCTACATTCTCCATTCTCAGAGGTCTGCTAGGTCAATCCTTGACCAATCCCTAGTTCTTTGGCTACGGCTGGTGTGGTGGATAGTTTCACCATCTCAGTACTGTTGATTTCTATTAATATGTACATGAAGTAAAGCCTAGCTTAAAGAAAAATAATAAATAAAGAAATAGATAAATAAATAAATAAATGATGGGATCCTTAAAATCTAGTGTTAAGTGTTTTACTTTCTAGCACATTGCTTATTTTATATCTAAGAACTATAGTTCTAGAAGCTATATAAACCTACAAGCTTGTTTTGTGTCCCTAATAACTTGGTTTAGTAAGTGTTAGATAAGGAGCTGCAAAATAAGGCCAGACAAACATGTGAGTTTTTCCATATTTGAGATTAGATAAAGCTGGACAGAAATGTTGGTTAAACTCCATTTATGGCTAAGGTCCTACCAAACTGCTGCCAGGCCTCAGAATGACAACTTAGAATTAGAAAAGATCACTTAAGAAGTGTACTTAAAAGCAAAAGATTCAAAATTCCAAAAATAGGGGCACTTGGGTGCATTGAGCCCCTCATGTGCGTTGAGCCCCACATCGTGCCTCTGCACTGAACATGGAGTGAGTTTGGTGTTCTCTTTCTCTGTCTCCCTCTGACCCTCTCCCTGACTCACAGTCTCTCTAAAAAATAAACAAAACTTCCCAAAATAGCTTCATTGAAAGTGTCACTGCAAAATGATGCTAAAAAAGGGAATGTGAAAAAACAACAAAAGATGTACCCAACACAAAACACTGTAAGACTGATGTAGTTCTTAATGCTTCCCACCTTCTTCCTTTATTTGAAATACATTCTGTTATTTTCTGTCTGAACTGTCTTTACAGGATGAGAAACAAAAGTCAGAGTCAGCTCTAGAGGCTATTAGAAGTTCACCTATTCTTTTGCCAACCCTCAAACTTCCTCTATTTATCTTAAAAGGTTTGTGAGTTAAAAGGTCTTATGAAAACTAATTCCTTCTTGGAAAAATATGCATTCTTTCTCTGCCCCCTTAAAGTTATGCAGTTTATCATGTCTTTGAAATATAAACACACCCACAATTGCCTGGGACTAAAGTGGGGAGAAAAAAGGAAAGAAGAATTTCCATTGTACAAACTGATAAAATAAGTTTTGTGCCCAAACTCTAGCACAGACTCTTTACGATTAATTACAGGGATAAACAAATCTTAAGAATATTTTCCACAAAAATTAGTAACTATAAGGACTTGAAATGTTTGTGTGTCCATATATATGTGTAGCATTTTATTGTAAAACAGCTCTATTTAGTTGGTTTAAGGCAGACACTTGTAAGGATTTAGAGTTCTACAATTCTCAGAAAGATAGATACTAACCTAAATGTTGTTTAAGTTCACATGATCTGGAAAAATATTCAGTATTAAACCTAATTTATTTAAGGCTGTTAGTTTAATAAAACGAATATGTCTTTAGAGTTATGAGCATTAAAATTAACATTTTAATTCTGACTTTGTTTACTTAAAATCAAAGAAATAAGTTGATGCTTTCTCTTTTACAAGATGGTTTTTTGTTAATGCTTGGGAGAGTGATCAGGTGGGATGTTTTTGCAGGATGCAAGGGTGGTTCAATATTCACAAAATGATCACTGTAATACTTCTCATCAATTAAAAAAAGGATAAAAAACATGAGATCATTTCAACAGATTCAAAAACTTTTGATAAATTAGGACATCCATTTATGATAAAAACTCTAATAAAGTAGGCTTAATGGGAACATATTTGAACAGAATAAAGGGATGATGTGATAAACCCACAGTAAACATCATACTCAATGGGGGAAAACAGAGTTTTTCTCCTAGAGTCAAGAAAAGGACAAGGATACCCACTCTCAACATTTGTATTCAACACAGAACTGGAAGTCAAAGCCATAGTAATCACACAACATAAATACAGCAAAGACATCCAAGTTGGTAAGGAAGAAGTATAACTTTCACTATTTGCAGACAACTTGATATTACATATAGAAAACCCTAAAGACTAGACTGCTAGAACAGATAAAGGAATTCAGTAAATTTGCAGAATACAAAACCAATATCCAGAAATTTGCATTCTTATATACTAATAATGAAGCATCAGAAAGAGAAAATAAGAAAACAATCCCATTTACAATTGCATCCAAAATAATAAAATATTTAGGAATAAACTTAACCAAAGAGGTGAAAGATCTGTACTCTGAAAACTGTAAAACTTTGATGAACAAATTTCAGACAATCAAAATAAATGGAAGACATTCCATGTTCATGGGTGGGAAGAACAAATATTGTTAAAATGTCTATACTGCCAAGAAATCTACAGATTCAATGCAAACACTATCAAAATACAAATAGCAATGTTCACAGATCTGGAACAATCAATTTTAAAATTGACATGGTTCCATCTAGGATTTTGATGGTTTCAGGTTTTACATTTAGATCTTTAATCCATCTCGAGTTTATTTTTGTTTATGGTATAAGAAAGTGATCCAGTGTGACTCTTGCATGTAGCTGTTCAGTTTTCCCAACATTTGTTGAAGAGACTAGCTTTTTAAAATGGATATCCTTTTCTGCTTGGCAAAGATTAATTGCCCATAGGGGCACCTGTGTGGCTCAGTCAGTTGAGCGGCCGACTTCGGCTCAGGTCATGATCTCACAGTTAGTGGGTTCGAGCCCCGCGTTGGCGTTGGGCTCTGCGCTGGCAGATAGCTCAGAGCCTGGAGCCTGCTTCAGATTCTGTGTCGCCCTCTCTC